GGGACGTCATTCTCCCCCTGTACTCGGCCTTAGTGAGGCCGCAGCTGGAGTACTGCGTCCAGTTTTGGGCTCCACAATTCAAAAAGGATGTGGAGAAGCTTGAGAGAGTCCAGAGAAGAGCCACGCGCATGATCAGAGGTCAGGGAAACAGACCCTACGATGACAGGCTGAGAGCCCTGGGGCTCTTTAGCCTGAAAAAGCGCAGGCTCAGGGGTGATCTGATGGCCACCTACAAGTTTATCAGGGGTGACCACCAGCATCTGGGGGAACGTTTGTTCACCAGAGCGCCCCAAGGGATGACGAGGTCAAATGGTCACAAACTACTACAAGATCGTTTCAGGCTGGACATAAGGAAGAATTTCTTTACTGTCCGAGCCCCCAAGGTCTGGAACAGCCTGCCACCGGAGGTGGTTCAAGCGCCTTCATTGAACACCTTCAAGATGAAACTAGATGCTTATCTTGCTGGGATCCTATGACCCCAGCTGACTTCCTGCCCTTTGGGCGGGGGGCTGGACTCGATGATCTTCCGAGGTCCCTTCCAGCCCTGATGTCTGTGAAATCTTTGACAGTTGTCAAATACAGGACCTGATCCTGCACTGAGAACCTGGTAATGGTGCTTCTGTAACTATATAATTACTTGTAAGATCAAGTCCTCAAGGCCCTCTGCTCAAAATGTATCTCTCTCTGAGACACCTTATTTGCTAGATTAGCAGATAACTACTACAACTGAGAGCTCATTTCTTTGGTGTGTTTAGATTATGTATTTGACAGCACTGCAAAAAACCACAAAAGCTGTTAGGCAGATTCGGAGGCAGCAGGACCTGAAACTCTAAAACAAACAAACAACCTCCCCCACCCCAGGACTGCAGACTGGCATCCTCTTTCAAACATGCCTGCCAAACTGTAAATAATTGTAGAGCAGCACACTGCGATTCATAAACTAGAGTTTTGGTTTTTAATAGAAACTGGAATCTGCGTTGGAGGAAAATGACTTGAGCACTGAAGATGAACGGCCACGTAGGAGACGAGGAAGACCCCCAGGTCCTCTAAAAGTAGCTGTGAAGTTTCCACTTCGAAGATCTAAAAGGGGAAAGAAAGAGGTTGAATCTGCTCCTGAAACACAAACTTCTCTAGACTTAGATTCTGACTCTGAAGAAAAGGGCTCCACATTTTTAGAGAAAAGAGCTTTAAACATAAAGGAAAACAAAGCAATGGTAAGTATCTAGAAAAGTTCTTTGGTACATATTTCTCCTTTTTTTCCAGTTCTTTTTGATATTCAGTTTCCAAGCAGTTCTCCTTTCTTTACAGATTAAATATATTGAGAATTTGTATGGGTGGGAATACATTAACAGGAATTTCGAGCACTAATACTCTTACTGGCACATGAAAATCCATGCACTGAAGCAGATTCTTCATCAAATGTCTGTGTATTCTGAAGTCTTATTCTGTGTTTTAGGATTACTAGGCTGCAATCCTAATAATTTTCAGACTAGTTTAAATCACTTGGACATAAAATAAGACATTTAAAATTAAAAGAATGTTTGCATTATCTATAGGGCAGTTATATTTCCAGGCAGTTGCTGTCATCTAATAGTCTGTAATAGCGCACAAACTCCTGTATCTTACTTCTCTTGTCTTCCTACCCGCCTTTTAGCTTGCAAAACTAATGGCTGAATTACAAAATGTCTCTGGTATCTTCACTGGAGGAAAAATGTTGTCAACAATCAGTCCGGTAAGTACAAATTAATGTATTTGGTTTACACTCTAGACATCTGAACAAGTCTAATTCTAACATTTGAAAGAAAACAAAAGACCTTTTCAAGTAAAAACCATAATAGACCATATAAATCAAAGTCCAGAATGTTATTACCTGTTAAAACAAACATCCTTATTTCTGCCATTCCCTTTTGATGTGCCGTTCTATAAAACTGAACGTGTTAAATCATTACCTAAAAGTGCCAATAAGCAAAAGCAAATAAAAGCCAGTAAAGTAAAATGCAGCGTAAATATGTTTATACAAATATGGAGATAATGAGTGTGGGGTCAACTTCATAGGCTGGATCTTAGTGTTGTTAAGCATTTTGAAAGTCAGGATTCTATTTTGGGTCCATCTCCCCTTGTGTATCAGGACTGCAATAGCAGTTTCCTTAATGAACTAGCATAGCCCAGGGCTTAAGTTAAAGGATTAGGAATCACGACTTCTGGATTCTGCTCCTGGCTCAGTGATTTGTATGACCTTGAGTAAGTACTTTATACTCGATATGTTTTAGTTGCACAACTGTGAAATGAGGATACTTACTGTCTTTCTGAATAAAATGTGCTGAAAAGCACTACTTCCTTACTTGAGGATCAGGGTATGCAACGTCATGTTGAAAATGGGGGCAGCAGTGAAATCTGTGCTTATTCCATAAAGCAAGTCTCTCATAGACACTCTGTTTACCAAGTGAATTATTGTTATTCATATTTCATAGGCAGAATTGCAAAAAGGATCTGTTTTCTAGACTTTGTCAAATGATAAAAGCAAATTAACTCCAAATAAAGTAGTCATGCTTGTTTTCCCCTTCAATAAACTAGGTTTCTGCTTTTGTTTGGTTTCTTGATTATAGGGTTTTGTTTACCTTTATTTTTTTTTTTCTTTCAGCGACCAAAGCGGACTCCAAAAAACCCATTTCCCAGAAGCATGTTAAGGAGGAACCCAGACCGAAGTTCTCGGCCTTACACAAGATCTAGGTCCTTGATTGAAGGTCCTCCTTCTCCATTACCAGAGGAGGAAGAAGATGATAAGTACATGTTAGTGAGAAGGAGAAGGCTATCTGATGAATTCTTGGAGGTAGGTATAATCTGTGGGGCAGGGGTGGTTAATCTCTTTCAGTACAATATTAGTTGGAAAAAACTTTTTAAGATACTATTTTGTTTCTCAAATAAATGCAGGTTAAGTGCTTTTGGTTCATTCAGAAAAACAGGAGCTCATGCAAACTGAGTTGGTATTCAGTCTACAGACAGCTTAATAAAGGATGAAAATACAGAGGTTGTAGTTATACAGCATTTTTTCTCCCCTTGCTTTTGGAGGTATTGGCTTTTTTTTTTTTTTCCACTGCAAAAGGATCCCACAAAAAATAGACCTTAGGCCATGGACAGAGGTGTATGTGTAATGCTTGAAGTGCTGCAGCACCTTTGAAGTGCTACAAATATGTAGCTCTAAGAGGGGTGGACAGATATGCAGAGCCTCCCTCCCTGTTTCCCTGGGTGGAGTGCTGCAGTGTTGCCAGAAAAGTGTTCAGCAGCATGCTTTACCACCGAGGAGGCATAGGGGGTTTCACACCTCTGTTTCCCCCACCCCCACCTAATGGTGGGCTGTCATGGTGAGTTGAGCACTGCAGGGGACAGCAGACTGTCATTGTGCTGTGCCTCCAGGCATTTGTAGTGCTACACATGCAGCATCTATCCACAGTCTTAGTTTGTTGCAGTTCAGACACTAAAGCTGGAGACTGCAGTTGAGATTTTTTTTCAAAAGCATTTTCTCACTGAGCCCACAACTTCCATTGATCCTAAACTCCTTAGACTACTCCAAAAATCTCTACCTCTTGGGTGGGGATTTACAGTAATTTTACCAACAACAAAGTTTTAAAAAATTGCTTGATTTTTATTTTATTTTATTTTTTTTATTCCTTCCCATCCAGCAGGAAATGAGAAGTCCCGGGAGAGGCCGTCGTGGTACCATGGCTCTTCCACATATTATACGTCCAGTGGAAGAAATAACAGAGGAAGAGTTGAACAGCATATGCCAGTCTGCTCGAGAGAAAGTGTATAACCAGGCATCGGTAGGCATATAACAATTCAGTAAAATATGGACTATGTGCAGTAGAATAACTGTTTTTAGACTCACTTGGTTTGAATTAAGCAATTCCAAATTTCTGTGCGTTAAGAATGGCTTGTCTCAAAACAACACACTGCTTTTGAGGATGTAGCTACTCCCATGGTAGAAGAATATGAACTGGGCATTTGGGGATTGTAATTATTCTTGTGCCTCTCTTCTTGATGGTCTTTAACAAAATTCTTTTTCTGTCTTCTCATGAAAACTGTTCAAATACTTGCACTCATCACAGGTGCTGAAGATTGGAACCAGTGACTTTCAAATAATATAATAAACTTAATGTGTAATGTTAAAATAGGTATTGGCAGCTATCCCAGTTTAAACTTTTGCTTCTTAGATTCACTAGCATACACACAATTACTTGGCTTTTGTGGTTAGTCATTTGACCAAGTGGTCAAAAGGTTAATTGCAATTAAATGTGCTGCCTTGTTAACTATTCATGTCTCCTGTTTGTGTTTGTAGGGCTCCACCTGTCATCAATGTCGGCAAAAAACCATAGACACTAAGACAAACTGTCGTAACCCAGACTGTACAGGGGTGCGTGGTCAGTTCTGTGGGCCTTGCCTTCGCAATAGATATGGTGAAGATGTCAGGACTGCATTGCTGGACCCTGTAAGATAATTTTAACTTCACTTTATTGTATGTAATTTTAGCAGGAAGCCTATTTGCAGAAGTGCATCACTGCTCTATAGTTAGGTGTTCCAGTAGAGAAGCTAAGTTTAATGTCCTGTAATACTGCAGCACACATTTTAGGGCTCAGTCACATAGTTTGTCATAATGGGTATTGCAGAACTTCTGTAGTTACTATTCTAACTACAACTAAAGAAATTATCAATTAGAGAAGCTGAGTGGTCATCCAAAGCCCTTTGGATTTATATTTAAGTTACTGAAACTGCAAAACAAAGTGCCTTCATTTTGGCTGACTTCAGTGATGGTGCTGTAGGGAGAAGAATGCTGTTTAGAGAGATGATTAGTCCTGGAAGGGAAGGATAAGAAATTGGGGTGGTTCTTGTAGTTCCAGTAAGAACTGTAGATATCTCTCTACTGCATTAAATATTAATGCAAAACTATTTGGGTCAATGGCCAAAGAAGGGAATTGAGTAGTGATCACTTTCAGTGAGAAGAATATCTGAATTTCTGGGATTTGTTTCCTTAAAATTCTTTATTTTTCTTTAGAACTGGCACTGCCCACCGTGTCGTGGAATCTGCAATTGTAGCTTCTGTAGGCAACGGGAAGGTCACTGTGCTACAGGTGTGCTAGTTTACCTGGCCAAGTACCACGGCTACGACAACGTTCATGCCTACTTAAAAAGGTAATAGCTATTTTTTATAAGTGGCATGGTCCAGTTTTGTGGATTCAGTAAAAGACCAAAAACAAGAAATGGTGAAATCCTAACGTTTCCACTGACTTATTTTGAAGTACTGAGTAAATCTCTTAGTTCTCAATCTTGTCACCTTTGAAATAGAATTTGTTTGTTCTTGCTAACATGAAAAGTAGTATAAGTACTTACTTGCCTTGCTCTGCGCTTCTGTTAATGCGCAGTCCCCAGGTTCCATTTAATGTATCTAAATTAGATGGGAACCAAATCTTGTTAAAGCAAAGCAGATCAGTTTACTAAAACTGGGTCCTCCTTATGTCTTACAGCCTGAAACAAGAACTTGAAATGGAAGACTGATGCTGTGACCAACTTCTTTGGTAGCATTTTTAGTCGTGTACATTTTAAAACTTTTGTATGTACTTAATTGCTTTAACCTCTGGATGATCACTGGTTCCAGGTAAAGAAAAGAATGATGGCTTTCAGCAAAGTGTGCTGTATATGGAAAAATTGTAATGGAGTACTATACTGGCGATTGTGATGCCTCCTTCTAAATATTGTTGGATAGGTGCCTTTCTCTTCCTAGTTATATTATGTGGACAGTGCCAGTGTAGACATCACTCAGATGCATCCCCCCTTTCCTCCCTTAAAAGGGAGTGGGCTTCAAGAGGTTAGAACTGTTCTTATGGCTGTCTTAGTTACAGTTTTGAAATGAATATTTTTAGAATGGCTTTACTTTTTTTAAAAAATTTTAATGGAAATGTACATATCAACTGTGGGCATGTTTAAAGTAGCTAATTTGGATTGGACTGAAATCACTATTAATTTTTCCAAATGAAAGTAATTAATAGAAGCTAAAACTTTATCTTTAAACTTGAGGGCAAATTGTGATATTAAAGACAGAAAGCGAATAAAAGAGGTTTTTACAATAACCTATGCAGTGGATAAAGTCCTAGCATTTGCTTTTATAAAGTGCTCAGACTGCCAGGAACTTTTCAGGTTCCAGAGTTATTAAAATGAGTAGAAATGCAACTAAATGACTTTGGTTCTCTTATAACTCCCCTGTCAAAAAGAAAGAAATGTTGCTGAAAACTTTCAGTTCACCTGTATGTTTTGCTCTACAATGGAACTAGACTGGTGTAGGTCTACTGGTAACTATGCTGATGGAAATGCTAGTTAACACGTACAGGGAGCTGATCATATCAGTTGTTTCCTGCTGCATTGGTGCATAGCCAGTGATTAAGACAGGGCTGGTTTAAAGCCCTGCGTTAGACAGACATGCGGCATTTCTATTGAGAAGATCAGTTCAAATGGTTTCCAGAACTGGAGTCTGAATTTTCTTTTGAGGGAGTTAGTGTTCCTAAGCCCAGTTAGACTGGGGTCCATCTTGAATTAAACACTTTGCTAGTTATGCAGTATAGCTCTAACTTTGAATTTTTAACCTGCATACGTGTAATTTAGCTGGATGCTAAATTACCAGAAAGGGCAGCTGTTTCTTTATGGCCTTAAAAATATTGTGGCAGTGGAGGTGTAATGGGTTGCATATATTCTGCATGCATTCACAGGGTGCTATAGCTTGATTCTGAACAAAACAACTATTTTGCCTGACTTTGAAGAAACTGCATGTACAGCTAAAGGCAAAGACTTAAACTGGAAATGTCTAGTATGCTGCATGAGAGAGACTGTTGTGTACTAAAAGTGGTTGAAAGAAATGTGCTATCAGCTACATCTGAGAAGCCACAGAAGACATTTAAAAATTCTTTTTCTTTTGATTGCAATGATATTATCATACTAGTTTAATAAGGATTTACAATGTAATACTCCAAAGGTGCTGTTAAATTCCAAGTAAAATTATTTAGAAGATGCAATCTTAGACCTTTCTACTGCAGTAGTGTTTTTTGCACAGTGGTTTTCTTTGCCCATATGCAGTCTCTCAATTCTGTAGATCTTCCTGCAGGAGGAATTGTATTAAGCTAGATTCCCCCTGCCTCTCCCTCCCCAGGGCAAACAGCAGTTAGGCTCCTTACCCCAATAGACTTTCTTCATAAGTGGATCATTTTTTGTTCCTGAAAATCATGTTTCCTCTACCTGCTCCTAGTATTTTCTTGTAATTGCCATAGCTGAGAACATACAATTTAAGGCTAAGATTTAGCAGAAATTTATGTAGAGTGAATATTTTCTTTTTGTCAAATCTTAAGATTTTCGTACTCTGTTTCATGAAGAGGGAACTTTGGAGATGTGTATGCTATGACTGTTTATTGATTTCTAATTTGCCATATCTGCCTCCTGATTGCTAAGCTGTACAAGAATGTCTGAAAAAATTGTATGCCATATTAGTACCCCATGTCACGTTGCATGAACAAATGCTGCATAAAGATCCTGTCTGATTTATGAAGCTCTTTTGTACAAAGTTTTTTATTTTGATAATAAAAGTTTTGGCTTGAGTTTCTGCCTCTCCAATATTTTAATTTTAATGCAGGGTGGCTTTCTTTCGGATTGTTAGCTGCTCTTGTGTTATGGTAGCTTGGTTACTGTTAACATCAAAAGATACTTTAAAAATGTATATACATTGCCATCTAACCTTCACTGCTTTCAGTTCGAGCCATTCCGTGAAGAGAAATCTTCTTAATTATTTCAAATGCTGACTGTTCCTTTTCTCCTTCCTAAAGATGTAGCTTCTCTTAGGACTGATCTGCAAGGCTTAAAATTCACAGGGTGAGAACTTGACAAGATATGGCTTTGTTTATAGTAGCAGAAGATGTCATATTAAATTTCAAGGTGGGGGGTGCTGTCTTAAATCCATTGGTAGACAGTTTAAATGTATAAATGTAACTGCAACAGTTTAGGATTTAAGTGATAACAAATCTAGCAAACAAATATGTAAGGATATGAGCATACTACTAAAAGTTGTATACTACTGATTATATTACAGTTTAAAAAATTCCACTTTTTCATGGGAATGAATAGTATGGGGCTCTATATAATAGATGTGAATGAAAACTGTAATAAGTAAGGATGTTGGTTATGCTAGCTAAATTTTTATTAAATTCTATTCTCAAAGCTTGTAATACTGATTTTTGTCATATTGCTATTAGCACATGCCTAATTGCCAATTTGTGTGCGTACGTACACATGCGCGCACACACACACACACCCTAGTTTTAAAACTATATTGTAAGCCATAGTGTGTTAGCTTTAATCACATGAGTAACCTTTACGCTCAAATACTCCTACTAGAATACACCTGGGGGTAAACCTTGCAGCTACTCTAATATCAGTAAATATACCTATTGCAAATGTTTCTTATGTCAGTAACAAAGTTTGTTCTTCTCACTTTTTTAAAGTGGCATCTGCAGTGGTGTAAAAGGCTCTTATTAATAAAAGTCCATGCTAAGCAAATTTATGTGCATCACGCATTCAACAACAAAGTAACACCTGCCAGAACCCATTTTACTGACCTTCTTAGTTTTTTAGATGGAATGCCCTATGTCAAGCGTCACTTCCTAGGTTTTGTTTTATAAACTGGGCACTCGTGTGTTTTTTGTCTCCTGTCTGTCACTGGGGATGGCTCTGACAAACATAACTGCTTTTGTATGAGCTTCAGTTAAGTGTGGAACATCCCAGCAAGCTCTTGTAAATGTTTAAAAAAGGGTGAGGGATGCTTTCTGGCTTGAGAACAGAATTTGAAGATAGGTAAATTTATTTTGAAAACGATCCTAAAGGGAACATGCAACCTGCTGAAGGGAAAGTACGAATAGAGTATCTTCCATTTTCATTTAGCTGTTGAAAATATTCCCATCTTGCACTGGGCAATCTTTTGAAAATTCCAGTTTAAGACGCACTGCCAGTTCTAGTGGTATTTTGCTTTTAAGTATAGAGACTCTCTCAAACCTGAATGAATTTAAGTGCTCTTACTGTAATCTTGCTTGAGAGAGAGAGATTTTTTTTTAACCTTCCGTATAGCTTATTAGCTGAATTTAGCAGTGGGAAAAAATTACACTTCCTATTGCTCTTGCTTTTTTGGTGATGTGAATACCAGTGATAACACTGAATCACCAGGCAAAAATGCTTTGGAAAAATGCCAAAGCCAAGCTCTCCTCTTGAACTCTGCTTAATCTGCATCCTATTTAAATGGAAACTTCCACATTGGGAGAAAAATAATTGCTTAGCCAGTGTTCTCTTTTGTGTCCCTTTTGAAAGTAAGGAAAGTTAATGCACGCGTATCCTTTCCCTATCCCTACCAGATTAATGCCTGCTATGGCATTTGTCTGTGGTGATGACTTAATCTAGTGAGGACTTTTAATATTGTGGGGTCTCTTGGCCCCAACATCATTTTTATGGAAATGATTGCAATATACTATTTCAGCATTATGTACAAAGCATAGAGGTGAGTTGTAAGAGACCAAGATTCCTGGTACAACCCTACTGTGCTAACTAATAACTAATTAACTTGGCATACGTGTGGTAGTTATGGGGGTTTTTTGGATGGGAAGGGGGTGGACTTTCATTATGGATATAACACTGCAACTACAAATTTAGAGGCCTTTCCAGCTGAAAAGAACTGAGGTTGCTCTCCTGGGCCAAGGTGCTTAAGTTTTTAGAGTATGGGGTCTTTTAGGATGTTTTAATGTGACCAGGCTGGATCTAGCTCTTCAGCTCTAAATAGACAAGGAAACGGTGCCTCTTTTTTCCTCTGCTCAAATATCCAATAGCTGCCTGATTCAGATCAGTCCCTCAATTCCTAATCTGCCTTTTAACAAAGTGCGCTAATCTCATCACTACTGTTGACTGTACCATTTTGCATAAAGAACTGCAAAGTCAGTACAGCAGGAACTTGAACCTCAGTTTCCCACATTCCATGTGCAGGCTCTTAACACTGGCCATCTCAAGTTTCCCACATTCCATGTGCAGGCTCTTAACCCTTGCCATCTCCCAGCCATAAAGATATGAATTCAACATATGTGGAACAGCTCCACCAGGAAGGGTTGAAAGAGCCATAGGCAAAAAAAATACCCACACCAGAGCATACCTATGGGCTTGAACCCTGCTAGTATACACCTTTTTAACAAGCAGAGGTTTCAGGGTCCTACTACTGCTTTCTCTTAAGATGAGGGTAATCAGAATCCCTAGATGCATGTAGTGTTCTGATAGAAATGTACACATTAAAGGAAGTTCCATGGGTGAGTGGCCCTTCTGAGGAAGGCTGATCCCTAAAGAGAAAGGTAGTAGAAAGGCTTTAGGTTTTAGTAGAAAGGTTTTAGGCCTTCCCATGGGAGTTAGCACTACCCTCTCTCACAGCTGTTGAAGATAAATATTTTAAAAGGCTGAGGTGTTCAGACATTACAGAAAGACAGTTGTATAGTTTTATTTATGATACATATTTTAAGGGGTCATTTATCTGTATAGCTCTAGATTTAGCTCTCTATAAAATCAGTTTTAGCCAAACACACTTTACTAGGCTGGTGAAGGGATGTAATTTGGTGAAAGTCCGTGGCCTGTATTTATAGCTAGCCTAGCTGATCTAGAGATCAGGTGTAGCTTTAAAAAAAAAAAAAAACCACAACTACATGCTTGTACTTTTTCCAGTGAGGTTGATATCAGTTGTAGCAGGAACTTGGGAACAGAAATAGCTGCAGAGTTAAAGATCTCTTAAACAAACAAAAAAAAATACTAACACCCTGCTAAGATTTTCATATTTATTACATATGTTTATTGAGACTAAAACTTAACCCTCACTTTACCTTGGCCCCTTTACTCCATGCCCCAACCACAACCAGAAGTTTAGCCTATATTGTTCTTTGTGTTGCTGGGGGGGGGGGGGGGGGGGGGGTACACACCCCTTCTCTAGCAACTTGAGTAAACTCTTTGGTCTTTTTTGTGATATCCACTGTTACCTGTATTATATCTAAAGGCCATTATTTCTTACTGGCTATGCTCTGCATCAGAGCCGAAACAAGATTTTTGAACTGCATTACATTGCAAGCAGTATAGGAGTTTTTCTTCCTACCACATCTACCATTCTTCTAAACTCATCCATCATGCCAGTTCTCCTCGAGGAAGATAGAAAGCATTCCTCAGTGTCAGCTTTCAACTGTAAGTATGAGAGAGAGGCCAAGAACAGTGGCCAAGCTTTTATCAGGCCTGGGTGACACGTGTTTCTTAAGCCTGATCACAATTCAACCTTCTTTTTCCTATTGCAGAGATCAGGTAATACTTATAGGTGGTCAAACTGCAAAATAAAAACTAGATCCATGTAGGAGGTAAGTCATTGTTTTCCCATCCAGTACCTTCAGTCCTAAGCTAGATGTGCATGTTCTATACCAGCAGTTCCCAACCTGTTTTATACTGTGGACAGGCACGGGAGCGGGATGGGGTGCGTGGAGCTGGCTGCCTCCCTCCCTGGGCTGCCCAGCATTAACCCCGCATGTGACTGCTGGTGGCAGAAGCTGCTTGCCCAGGTGGACAGATGGGGGTCTAAGCAGGGGGCTCATGCCATGACCTGGCAGCCACCCCTTTGCAGCCCAGTATTGGACCATGGCCCGGTGGTTGGGTACCTCTGTTCTATACACAACAAGTGGGGAGAGGTGATTATCAAAAGTCTGGATTGAGCGGGAATCTGCTTGAGCTGCCACTGAATTCCCAAGATGAATTTGGCCTTGCAGCTTGGAAGGCTGTGGGATGCATTTGGTGTAATAGTCTCCTGCTTGTGTCACTGGACTAGGGAGCGGGAGGCCTGTTCCCTCCGAGGGCCTCCTAATTGCTGGGAAGTGAAACAATGCTTTTGCCCAGAAGCTGAGACAGGGGAGACCAGAAAGACCCAGCTCTTAGACCCATCTCCCTGTGGGGGGGAAGAGAGGGCCTTGAACCTTAACCTCCCACATCACAGGGCAGCCACTAGGCCAGGGTTGAAGATAGGTCAATGGGCAGTCAAGGGGGAAAGCCTCCTGAAGACAGAGGGAAGAACAAACTAGAGGAAACCTGACTCAGCAAGGTGGCTGTTGCCCTGGGAGGATGGGCAGTGAGGTCTTGCTTCCAGTGTTGTTCATACATTCTTTGTATTACAATGTCACTGGAAAAAATGCATAAACAGTACTGGGGAGTAGAGAACAGGTTGTTTCACGTGATGTTCCATCTATTCAAAAGTCCTATGGACCTAAAAGAGAGGCCAAGCCTACACTTAGGTAGCACTTTGTGCAGGAGTTTGCATGTGTTTACACTGAGGCATCAGAAGCCTAACGGATAGGTCACAGCAAACTTCAGGATATCTTGACTGGCATTGTGGGAAAATAAACCTCACAAGTGTTCAATACATGTGCCATCCCTCGCTCATTAGCCAACTCTGCCTTATGGAACATCAAATGATTCTCTCTCCACTGTCAAATCTCTCCTGAAATTATACTTGTCCTGGACACTTCTTGCCACCTATTCAGCTAAAACAGAGTGG